CAAAGATGATATTTCTGCACTGGAAAGCAAGGAGTGCAGTGAAAATATATAAGCATTGAGAAAAATTGTGCAGCTGTACTTATGTGGCATCAAAAATTCAGGCTATATTATCCCTATTCCTTTTATGATAAACAAAACTGTATAAACAGGAAAAACTATGTTTATACCAGAAGTTCTGCTGGCATAAAATGGATTAGCTTCATTTAAAGGAAAAGGATTTTGCCTGCTTACAGTAGCTAGCTCTCTACATTTTATCAGTGGCCTCTGAGAACATCTTTGCTTTTCTCTCATTCAGATAAGATACTTTCAACATACTTAGACATGTTCAACTTTATCTTTCTTACTTAAGAAAACAGCATTCTTCTGACAGCCATTCAGAAATAAAAACAGAAGGAAGACCTGTCTGATGAGCTAAAACCTGCCAGCATCATTACTCATTAAATGTACAGCTTCTTCAGTGGTGTAAGGTTATAAACAGGATTAAGATCACAATGGGAAGGCATGGTAAGAACACAAATGATAGTTCTAAAATTCAGTAGGGCGTGATACCTATGTGTAATGGTGAAATGGGAAAATGGTGAAAAGATGGAGTCAAATGCAAAGTCTTATACCATTAAAATCCGACCAAAAATTGCATCTATTTAAAGACAGGAAAAAGCTTTTTCAAAAAGATTTGAAAGTGGAGGAAGGGAAGAATTATTCCATCTACACATTTTTCATCCTTCTGTAAGGACAATAAATAGTTCTGTGTTCAAGGCACTTGCCTAAGATGGAGAAGACCACAGTACAACCTTCCATTCTGATTAATTCTAGACAGGCCCTTGACAGGACTTCCCACAGTCCAAGAGAACACCTTATCACCTGATAATTTCCATGTGTACAGTCAAATCAGCCTCTGACTTGCAAGAGAAACTGCACCTTTTATTTGCTTGAAAAATAATAGTTTCAGCAATGCAATCTTCTTATGTCAAAGTAGCCAAATTGGGAAATTCCTAATCAGCTTTAATTGTTTCCCCATAAGCAACAAATATTAAAGAAAAGCTGCATGCAAACAATCCAAAGTCTTTTGGATTAAGCCCAAGCGAGGATGAATTCTTCCAGGCAGAGAGTGACCCTGGCCTAAATAATGTCTAAGGCAACAAAGATTTCATGCATGATGAGTAGAATTTCTCCTTATCATAAATAATTATTTTAGATCTAAAGTCATAAAGTGATTAATAGCAGAAGCCAGAAATATATTTGTTTATTCAAGTATTTATATGTACAGAACTGAATAAGCTGAAGCACTTATGTGCTGTACTTCATTTCTGAAGCAAGTTTGTACACTAAGGAATGCAAAAAGTTAATTCTGAGTTACCAAGGCCTACATCCTTTTTGCAATACTTCATTTCAGATGCTAATGTCTAAGAAAAAGTAAGGATCACAAGGGTCAGCTGCAGACACAAAAAGCAGTTTCATGCTCCTCAGATGATCTGTAAATTGTTTCTTTTCCCACTTCTGGGCCAAGACTCAGGCTTCCTCTAGGGTCAGTAAGCCTTAGAATGACCCACTGCTCAGGATATATTTTATCTATCAGATTCTAATTCAGATGCAATGAAAGAATTATACAACTTTTGGTACTGTTCTGCACTCCAGTCTCTCACAGTGTGTACTGATATTGCAACAACATATAAAGTATGATATCTTTACCAGATATGATTTGATCTTTTTCATATAAGCTAAGATGGTTCAGCTACCTGCTGCTTCTACTCATAGTTCAGATATTGTGGGTCTGGCAATAATTATGTAATTTCAACAGGCACTGATGTTGCCGTTCATAATTTTGTACAGGTGACATTTAATTATTCCTACTGTGGGTGGAGCAGTCTTCTTCAGACATCAGCCAGGTACACTCTGCACAGATAGACAAGACCAAAGGCTGCATAATGGACAACTCTCAAGTAAATCCTTCTGTTTCTCTGTCTCTTTCTTTTCCATTTATCTGTACTTCAAGCCATGTGGTTTGTGATGGGATTTTGCATAACTCTGCCTTTCAAGTTTAGCTAAAGTGAGAGTGGAAGGAAATTCAAGCTACAGCACTTAAATGACTGCAATTCAATCTGATTTATCAGACAGGACTGTTGAAACACCTCTTGGAAGACAGCAGCTTTTGGCTCGGTCCTCATGCATTTTACAGGAATATCAGTATAACAAATCGACTTACTGAGTTTCCTGATATGACAATTCATTCAATCAAATCCTTCAGACAAAGACGTCTGCAAAGACAAGCATACTACATCAAACTGTGCATTCCACAAACCACGGACAGAAATGTCTGCAAATTTACAAGTGCACAACTCTACAACCTGATGCTGCCACAGCAGAGGAGATGTTAAAAAATAAAAGATATTAAATAAATAAATATGCATAGCTAGTGCCTTGCAATCAAAATCTTTCTTGTAGTCAGGCAGATTCTGTTGATTTCCTGTACAGGTCGAAGAATTATAGTAACCATACATTACTGACTTCAAGTCTTATGATCAGGAAGCACTTTGCTTGTCAAGCTAGGTAATACATTTTTAATTTGCAACCTCGTTTACAAAGGAAAAGCAATATGATATATATTCTGAAAATTATTATCAATATCAACAGAAATCTATCAGTTTTGTAAGAGACTCTTGGCAGCTGTTCCTTTAAACACACACACATTTGCTACCACTATACCTGATCTTTCCCTCATCACTGAAGCTTGGACTGAAGCACTGTCAGTAAGTGCCTCTGATTTTTAAGTCCAGTAAGATACAAATTAAAGTTTACTGTTGATTTTGCTTTAATTTGTTAAGCTGTCTCATCATTTGTACATGAATCATTTAGGCCTTAAGCTTCCTCAAGAAGAGACTGCTTCTTTATCTTTCTATATGACTTCCACCATAAATTGTGTTGCAATAAACATTAATGCTAAATGGACAAGACATTAGCAAAAGTTTTGACCAATTCATTTTTCTGTGCATCAATTACACAGTAAATATTTGTTGAAATTATTCTGTACAATGGAAAGGAGTTACTGTTTTTAAGTTAAGTGCATTCTTAATCAGGCAGGCTGACTTTAGGACAGTTCATAAAGAAAAAAATCTTCACTGAACAGCAAAAGCCTGCATTAGAACAGCAACAACACAGAATTTTGAATAAAAACTTGTATGCACACTGGTATGAAGAATATACATAGGAACAAATACATATACAGGAAAAAAGCACCACAGAACAAAGCCGTTTTCTTTACAGACCCTCAAACACATTTTAAGAAATGTGCTGTGATTTAGGAAAAAAATACTGGTCTCAAAAAAAAGGAATTGAATCATGGAAATCCCCTGGGATCTGTATGCAGGACATTTGGTGGCTAGGATATCACAACATTAAAAACTTTGAGTATTTAGGAAAACAAGCAGAAAACTCAACTGAAAAACACACTACTGACTCAGGAACAGTTTCTACTGAGATCATATTAAATACCACAGGAGTCAAGATAAAATGAAAATAATAAGCCCTCTGTCTAGTCTATTTCCTAGGTGGACTTTTTGTAAATACTGCCATAAGTCAGGCAGAGTCACAGATGTCCAGCTGTGGTGAGGGATGACCACACTTCACCTGCAGAGCCTGAGCCTGCACCTTGGAGCAACTTTGTAAATGCCCTCAAGCAATGTGTCGCCTCCCTCTTTCAAAGGCAACAGTGCTCACACAGAGAGCTAAGAATATAAGATGGTACATTTTAAGGTCACGTTTTAGAAGGTATTAAGCCACCTTGATATTTCAGAAAACAGACGTTATACTCATCCAAAAGATAGTTAAAATCATATCAGTGTATTCCGTTTGTAAGCTCAGTACCCTGTATATGTTTAGACATAAATCGCCAGATTGTTCAGATTACATTTAATTAAAGCTCCTAGGCAGCACTTTTCTTTGGAACTATGGTATGAGTTGTATTTCATATAAAAATGCCAACACACCAATAAGGAAGGCAACTCCAGTGGCGTGACTTCAGGCTTGCTAGGTGGATTGGCAAACCTTTAGCACCTTACAGACTCTCAGCAGTGAGTGATAGTGAGCGTCTGCACTTCCCTCCCTGTCACAAACACTGAAGGTAAGAGGCAGACTGTCAGGGTTCCTGGGAGCACTGGCATCTTATCACCCATGTTGCCTGCGTCTCTGAATTCAGAGCACTCAGTCTCATTCTGGAGTCAGAAATGTCTTTGTCTTTAGCACAAGGTAAGGAAAAAGAGGTCATTTCCAGTGCCCAAAGACAAGAGGTAAGTTTTGCATGCAGTGATGGTGTATTCCTCTGGTTCTGCTGTCCTGGAACCATAACCCCTTTATTGAGGATGGGGACCCAATTAAGCCTTCATAAAGCTTTAATGAAGGAAGAGATCTTTAAGTTATCTGTAATAAAATGTACTTGTCATGGTTGTTTGCCTGCATATTCTGATAATGATTTGAGGACCAGGAAGGACTTTTTTTTCCCCACATTTTCTTCTTTTTTATTAAAAGCTCTCACATTTCACCTTTAAGGCATTATTGTGAATTTTATCTTGTTAATTGACTGCTCATATGGCAATAATTTTACACCACATTAAGTAATGTTGTAATTTGCCTTAATGCCCTCACTTAATGGGAACAAAATGCAGCATATATATAGAAATTAACTCCTTACATATCCTGTATACACAGTTGTCATCTGGTTTTAGGGAAGAAGGGCATGCATATGGGAGAAAGAAACATGGGAGGAATATATGTGCAGGAGAGGATGAGAAAAGCAACATAATAAACTGTCAAACTGAAAAGAATGGTGAGATGCTAATCCAGCAGGCATCAATTCCACATTGTTAAGTACATCATGAATGCTTTCTGCTGCTTCAGTTGGGCTGAAAAACAGCAAGATAGAAGTAAGAACCTGATTAAACACATGACTGAATATACCAGGGATGACAAATTCGATGAATGTGTTTCTTACTATTTAGATAGGGGAAGCATCTTCAGTTTGTGTGTATAAGTAATAAAGAGTCGGGAGCGGTGGAAAAGAAACTGTTAGAGCTGCATCCCCAAGCAGCACAGTGACTGCCTTCACAGCCCCAACTCATTCACGAAACCCATGTGGCACTGAAGAAAAGGGAATTCTCTCTCNCTTCTGCTTTTGTAGGGATCTGATTCTATGCTTGGCTCCATTATACTTCATTAATCTGTAAGTTAAGCATAAAAAAGCAGTAAAGCACTCGGGTAATGAATATTCAATGTTTTCTGTGAAATCTCAGAAGTTTAGAATGCTTTTGTATTCATTTTCAAAAAAAATATCATCTTGGGCCTTTATATATAATATTCTCCTAAACACTATAATAATTAAAATATTTATCCTACTCATATACACTAAACCACATTAATGACTAGAAATTGAATGGCATAAATTGAACTCATAGCTGTTTGTATTCTTGTTGGTGGCTCGCAATATTCCCAGAGCTACCATTTGGAAACTATTACTTTTCTGTCACTCACTACTCTTCTCCAGAAGGTCTAATGAACTGCATAGGTCAGCTTTCTGTCCTTGAATTAGAAAGAAGATCTAACACGTTTTCAGGACCTGATGGGACTTTAACTGTTGTACCAACTTAACTACACACTTCATGACATTGGATTTTGAGAGAATTGTGTACATAACTGAGGACACAAAATACTGTGGAAGGATTGAGATAAGCTACAGAGATAAAAAAATCTGAATTATATTTACTATTTTTTTCTAAGTCTGCAGACTTAAATACGTGTAGATATAACAATTAAAAACTTTGCAAACAATAGCACTAATAGCACTAAATATTCCTACCATTTTTTCAATTAATACAATGATAAGATTACAAAACAGTCATCTCCCTAGTTATCTTTATGCAAAGATAATTGCACGATTGTGATCTTGAAAACTTTGAATCAGATAGCTAACAGAAAATTCTCATAGTTATTTTAAATTGGATACATTGACTGGCCAAAATTCAAGACTGTGGTCCTACCAATTTCCCTTGGGCTCCCCGTACTCAAGGTTTACTCTCAGCATAACTGGAGAGGTCAAATGCTGTTCCTCCCTGACCTATAACAAATAGAACCTGCACTTTTGATTGTAATTTTTGCAGTCAGAATGGCAGTACTTATTGACATACAAAAACCTAGATATGTAAATACATATATATGCAAATTCATAAGCACTACTAAACTTCTACAATGTTTACACAAGATATTTTCACACTAGCCAATGACCTTCAGCTGCTCCTAAACGTTATTTAGCTAATTTTTTCAACAACAAATATCTCAATGAAAAGATTTTTTTAAAAATCACAGATAAAAAATTATTTTTTTCTCCTGGACTGTAAATAATGCAAATCAAAGCATGATTTTTTAAGCATTTTTGCATTTACAAAAAAAAAAAAAAAAAAAAAAAAAAAAAAAAAAAAAAAAAAAAAAACAAAAAA